GTTGGTCCGGTTAGATTATATTCTTCTCTTTCTCTCAAACATCAAAAAGATGTATATAAAAGCAGAAAAATCTTTAAATTTATACAATGAGAATTACAACACCCAAGATGAATGGGCCATCACATTAACCTGACTAGCACCTTCTCTTACCATCCACGTAAAGATAAGATTCACGGGATGCCACGTTATGATCAGAACATATGAGATTTTGTGTGTTATTTAAAAAAAACACATACCTTATGAGACTCCAGTAGCCTCCTACACAATTGGGAATTGATTACTAAGCTGACTATACCAAGATCTGAGTCAGTCTTGAATACCAAGATCTAAATTACCAATGTTTGCCTCTGGTGCTCCATTTCCGACAATGCCTCTCTAGCTAAATAATCTCTCTCTAATTTACTATGTTAGTAGAATTAATCAGGCTATTGACAATCCTTGAGGCCAGAAACCACTTTTGATATTTTTTAGGTTTCTTGAAATATATTTATGTTTAGTCATTACATGTTCACAGCTCAACCTTCAGAGAATAGCCTAAAGTTAGGATTAACTTTATCCATATCTAGCCCCTCTGACCCCACCTGGGGAGAAAAAAAAACATTAGAGGACTTCAGCTATACCTGGAACAAAAATATCCAATTTTCTTTGGGTTGACATAATCAATTGGAAAATAAACAAAAACTGAAATAATAGTAATTCTACATGCAAATGATACAATTCACTTGGCACAACTGTCCCTTAATCTGATGCCTAATTGAGAAAAATATCAGGCAGCTCATTTAGAGCATAAAACTATCATTCTGGAGAAAATTTTTCTCATGAGTAATTAAACAAAATTTAAATAAAAATGCTGCCACCAAGTAAATTTGTTAAATTGTGCTTTTACTGTATCAGGGCCTCAATTTAATTGTCATCTGTCTGTAAATACTAGAGAAGAATTTGCCATCAGTTTAAGAACATAATGACTGGCTGTTTTCCAGATATAATTACTCCAAAACAGGACAGCATTGTGTAGACTGCAAACACTTGCACAAAGGATATGGTTTATGTATGAGGTAACGTAAGGGCATGAAAGAGGAAAGACTACTTTTAAACCCATTACGAATATCAGGCAAAGATTGGGAAAAGACAGCGCCATTGAGTTAACGAAGGGTACATTCCAACATACAATTACAATCCCATTTACAAATAAAAGCATCCTTCAGTTGCAGACATCAAAGAAACCCATCAAATTTCAATCAGGCTTACATTATAAATATTGGAGAGGAAAGATGGATGAGGGATAATTACTTACAGCAGGTCACTACTTTTCTAGTGATGAAATAAGAATGTTAATAGAACCAAATATGCCTGTTTTTCAGTTCAGATAAAATGGAAGCAGTACATATTTACAGTGAATGAAATGGTGACTCAAGAACTGATCTTTCAGGTGGCATAGGCATCGGGCAGTGCAATTCAGGAGCAGGAAGAAGTTTCTCCCCCAAAACAATCCAGCCTTTATTCTCTGCCAGGGAAATTCCACCATGAAATTTCTCTATGACAGCTCTATTTCTATTCAAACTCAAAATATCATTGGGAATGAAGGAACAGTAAGCTGCTGCCAATTATTTACTTCTTACTAGGAAATAATTTCAACAACATTTATTTGACAAAAGTTTATTTATGTACCAGGCCCTCTAAAAGCTATTGGGAATATGATATGGAACTAACATAGACATGATTTCTTACCTCATGGATCTTAGATTCCAGTTGGGGAGACAGCCATTAGTCAAATAACCCCTAAATGGGTGTTTAATTACAGACTGAGAGAAGAGCTATGTAGAAGAGAAAGCTGGGCCTTAAAAAGTCTGTGACTTCATCTAGGCCGGGGTCTCAGAAAGCCCAATGAGGAAGTAATCGTTGAGCTGACTGTTGAAGGATGAACAAGAGACAGCTAGGTGAGGAGAAGGATGGAAACTCATTCTGAGCGAATTAACAGTATGCTCAATATCCGTAAAATGGAATGCTATTTAGTCATAAAAAGAAATGAAGTATCGATAAATGCTACAACATGAACATCACAAACACTGTGTTAAGTGAAAGAGAAGCCAGGCACAAAAAGCCATGTATTGTATAAATCCATTTATATGAAATGTCCATAGAGATAGAGATAGAAAATCCATAGAGACAGAAGTCAGATGAATGGTTGCCAGGCCTGGGAGTAGGAGGGAATGACTAGTGACTGTTTAGTAGGTATGGATTTTCTTTGGGGATGATGAAATGCTCTGGAACTTGATTGTGGTGATAGTTATACAACATTGTGAATGTACTTAAGTGCCATTGAGTTGTCCACATTAAAATGGTTAAAAAGGTGAATTGTAGGTAATGTGTATTGTAACACAAATTATTTTTTAAAGCAGTATATTAAAAGACCCTTCTCTTGGTAGGAGAGAGCATGGCTTATTCTAGAAACTGAAAGATACAGTGTGGATGGATGGCAGAGACAATGGGGAGAGAGACAGTAGGCTGGGACAAGAGCACGCAGAGGCATGGAGGCCTTGCTAGGATTCAGTGTTTATCTTAAGAGGAATGGAAGCCACTGAAAGTTAAATGTGTATCTGTGCATATGTGTCTGTGTGTGTGCATGCGTGTGTATATGTGTATGTGTATAGAGGGGGAGCATTACCATCCACACACACACACACATTTGAAAAAGATAACTATATATTCTGTGCATGTGTGTGCATCTCTGTGTGTGTATAGAGGAGCATTACCATAAACACACACACGTACACACACACACATATTTGAAAAGTATAACCATATAGTCAAGAAAAAGTGTGTTTTTATAGCTTGAAAGGAGAGTGTGGTGGAAGATAAGATGGGAAGAGGGAAATGTGCACAAGGCAAAGGATACCTCCTTCCTAGTTTTTGTAGGGCTAATTCTGTCTAGGTCCTCCCAGGTAGACTTGTATAGAAGTCTTGAGATTAGCAAAACACAAGAAGATGTTTCAGTGTGAGGTAAATCAGAAACTGATGCTTGAGTGTGTAGTAAGTTATTTTAATATGGGAAAGCCAAAGAATGCATTAGATATTTAATGGGATGTTAAGATGGGGGGCGCAGGTTGGTGCTCAATATAGGGTTTAAACTCGAGGGTAAGATAGTGAAGAGCAGTCCTCAGGTGCAGTTGGAACCGTCAGCGATGGCGATAACATGATTTTGGTTTTCTTTGGTTAGAGAATTCTTCTGAGAATGGACCAGAACTTCTGGACTCCTGGTAATTTGTGGGATCCTACAGACTTGCCACAGGGAGCTAGTTGCATTGCATCTCTCAGTATCAACAGTGTGTGCCACATTGGGTTAGAAATGAGGTTATGCCTCAGTTTAGAGGAGGTACTTTAGGAATAAATACATGAATTGATGTTAGAAATTAGAGAGCATCATAAATTTGTTTATTCATTTGTTCCATCCTTTCTCATGCAGCAAGTGTTTATTGAGTATTGTCTATTTTAGGGCACTATGCTATGCCTAAGTCCAGAAGACCAATAATTAAAACGAGGTCATTTTCCATGAAAATTAAGATATTTAAAATGCAATTTTACAGATAAGATACATGAATGAAACGTTCTGTTTAGATTATAAGGCCAGAACCTAAGGAGTCTTGTTTACTTTCTAACTAAATATCTATAGGAATTATTTTTTTAATGGACATAATTTTTGAATGAATATAGTTTTAAAAATCTAAAATCACTCTTTGCCCTGATACCATATTTCCATCAACTGCTATTTTTTGCTTCCATGATCTAATACCAGAAAGTATCTCAGGTACATATTGGACAAGGAGTAAAAAGAAAAAGACTTTTCTTTTTATCGATGCTTATGTAAACTTGTATAATCACATTCATTACAAGATGTAAGATTTTGAGAACTATCTGACAATGGGAAGATGTTTATTGAAACCCTTTGAAGCAATTTTTTTTGTGAAAACAGTTTTCAGAAAAGAGAGTTGTCTAAGTTCCCAAAGCAATAAAGTAGCACTACATAAAACTCCCAATATCTCAGCTGTTATTATCTAGTACTAGATAGCATTTAGTAATAGAAAGGCTTTTCGTTGTGTCAGTAAGCAGATGGGCAGGGGCTACCTACTTTCTATGAAGTTGAAGATTGCTCAAAAGATCAAGAGCCAATCTAACTGAAAGGTTTTCTATTAACTCAAAAGATTCTTAAGGGCAAAACTGAAAAGCTAGAGTAAGAATAAAGGAGGATCCAGTACTCAATAAGTTTAAAAATTCAAAATAAATGGCAATAACTTTAACACAATTCCATGGCTTAAAATTACCTGATACATTTGATTTCAAAGAAAAAACACTCATTTATTTTATTTAATTATGACTAAAGTCAGTGACATATACATTTTTAATAATATGTGCATTTGCTTGAAAAATTAGGAAATAAAACTTACATTTAAAAAATGCATTGTAGAGAATGTGACTCCTTAGTACTGACAGACTGACTCCTTAGTACTGAGAAGACTGACAAGCTCTCAAGTAAAGAGAAAATTAGAAAGGTAACTAAAATACAAATTTTTCCAGCTATTAAAACTCATTGACACAGATAAGCCTAAATTCAGAAGGCAGCATTTTCTTAATTGAGTTATTGATACCATTCCTATTATCATGAACACTAGAAGAGAGATTTTTAATAACCCCAAGGCTCATAAACCCCTAGGCTATCTATCAGTGGGGTTTAGGGCATCTGTGAACCCCCCATCCCTCACCAAATCTTATGATAAATAGTGTGTGATAGATGTCTATTGTATCAACTTGGCTTAGAACTATGTCTTCCGTATGTCTTTTCTGCAGATTTCTTGGACAGTGTGGTCCTCAAGAGACATTTTGCATAAGATGTAGAAAGTGGAAGTAAAGCAGTAGCCATCTAGTTTTTTTATGCTTGGAAGACAGATGCAGGGCTCCAGGCACTGTTGGACCTCATGCATGTTGTCACTTATCTGCAAGCTCACCTTGTTGGTGAGGGGCAGCAGCTGGGCTCCTGCCAGATCCTCCTGCTGGATCAACTTCCCTGAATCCTCAACCAGATGCATATTTAGCTCCATGACGGAAGGCACCAGTTTCTCCTTCATTCAACTTGTCTTTGCTTCCTCTGCTTCCCATCCATCTTCTTTGCCCAACTGTCTGTGGACTTCAGGTGCCAGCACCAGGCCAGAAACTACAGCTTTATATCCAAACTCAGACCTCCTCACCAGTTTTCACAGCACTGTAAGGACAAATCACTACAATTAAGAAATATATATTTCTTAACTGTAAATTAATAAATTGAAAATTGAAAAATATATTTCTTAATTATATAAATATATATAGGTAAATATATATTTATATGTAACATATAAGTATTTACTTACATATTATACATAAATATATATTTACATACATTATATATAAATATATGCATATTATATGTGATATATACACTTATAATATTTATTTATATATTAAATATACTAAAAATATACTATAAATATATATTTTAATAACTGTATAAACAAATAAGTATATATGGTTTTGCTTAAACCCTGATACATTGTATGTTAAAGTATAAAGTTATAAGTGTATGACCAGGTGCTGTGGCTCATACCTGTAATCCTTGCACTTTGGCAGGCTGAAGTGGGTGGATTACTTGAGATCAGGAATTCAAGACCAGCCTGCCCAACATGGTAAAACCCTGTCTCTACTAAAAATACAAAAATTAATTGGGCATGGTGGTGTGCTCCTGTAATCGCAGTTACCCGGGAGACTGAGGCAGGAGAATAGCTTGAACCCAGGAGGTGGAGGTTGTAGTGAGCTGAGATCACGCCACTGCACTCCAGCTTGGGCAACATAGCGACACTCCCTCTCAAACAACAATAAAGGTGGGCAGATCGTGAGGCCAGAAGATCAAGACCATCCTGGCCAACACAGTGAAACCCCGTCTCTACTAAAAATACCAAAATTAGTTGGGCATGGTGGCATGCACCTGTAATCCCAGTTACTTGGGAGACTGAGGCAAGAGAATCACTTGAACAGGGGAGCCGGAGATTGCAGTGAGCCAAGATTGCGCCACTGCACTCCAGCTTGGCGACAGAATGAGACTCCATCTCAAAAAAAAAAAAAAAAAAGTTACAACTGTAACTCTCATAGAAATTCATAGTAAGCATAGTATGGCAAAGATTTACTTAAGTTATTAATGAGGATCCAGCGGGATGTCAAAAATAGTTCAAAGAAGGATAAAAGAGACTAATGAAAGTGTAAGAAAGAATGCGGGAATATGATTGCTAAATTAGATTCAAAACTGGCTAATGTACTACATGACAATCAAAACATAAATTTTAGTGTTATCTCCCTTTTAGAGAGAAATCATTGGCATCTCATTTGGACAAAAATCATTGTCATCTGTTGAAATGTCTACAAGTTAAGTTGGAATTTTATAATTTGAACTCTAATCAATAGTAAACAGTAATCAGGCAAAGCTATATTTCAAGAATCAGATGAACCTTCCTCAGGCTTACTGGACACTGCTCAAGCAAAACTTGGGAATACCACAGTTGTCATTTTGCTTTATTTCCAAATTTTGGAAAATTTTTTTAGTGTATTTATATGTATTTTTCTGCAGAGAACAGCCAAAATCTAAAGGGCTCTTCAATTTTTAAAGAGAGAGAGTAAAACCAACCAAATTTTAAAAATAAAATAGGACTGATCCCATTTGAATTTTTTAATAATTGCAAAAAGTAAGAAAAACTTGTTAATTCTGAAAGTTCTTGTTTAACTGAATTTTTTCTTCATTGCTAGTATAAAAATAAAAATGCTCAAATATCTCACGGCTTTAAAATAACATAGCCATAAAAATCAGTTCATTTGTTATTGTAAGCTACCATATTATCGTTTTATTTTACTTTAAATGAATAGCCAGCATTTACTGAGGTCTTACTATGTAGCAGGAGATTTGACATACGTTGCCTCACAACAACCCAGTGATGCAGTTACTGTCATTGGCCTTGTGGTCTAGAGGAAGAAGTCAGCTCAGAGAAGTAAGTCAGTTGCCTAAAGCTCCACTATGAATATTTGGACCTAGGTCTTTCTCACTTTAATTTATTTATTACTATTTTTTTAGAGACAGGGTCTTGCTTTGTCACCTGGGCTAGAGTGTAGTGGCATCATCATAGCTCACTGCAGCCTCAAACACCTGAGCTTAAGTGATTCTCCCACCTAAGCTTCCCAAGGCCTGCAGGTGAATGCCACCATGCCACGCTAACGTTTTTTTATTCTTATTATTATTTGTAGAGACGGGGGAATCCTTATGTTGCCCAGGCTGGCAAATTCCTCGGCTCAAGCGACCCTCCTGCCTCGGCCTCCTAAAATGCTAGATTACAGACATGAGCCATTACATCCAGCTTCTCTTACTTTAGAGACCACAGATTTGCCCCCCCACTATCTTCTCTCACCTCTCCTGGAAAGCTCCTTGAAAAATAAACATGTTTATTACATATTCATTGCCTACCTCTTGTGCAATCAATGCATAGTGTATGCAAACTGCTTTGCTAGCTTGGGGCCTGGCACATAATACAAGTTAGTTTCTTCCATCTCTGTCCCCCCTCCCATCCCTTACAGAAGTAACAGGTTGCTAAGGTTCTGTTTTACCTCTTTTTCTTGGCACTATCACAGCTTTAAATATAAAAGATATAAAAATGACTCCAAAATCTACTTCAAATTCCAAATATCGCCTCCATATATCCACTGGCTTGTTGGGTTTCCCCATAAGGTGTCCCTCTAGCATTTCAAATTGTGTCTCAAATTGGAATATACCTGGCATAGTGATGTCACTATGAATGTAAGCTTTGTTCTAATATGTTTCTCCCCTAATAACAATGGGCATATGTGAGCCCAGGATGTAGGAACATCAGTTTCACTCAGTGGTAAGTAAAGTGTAATATTATTCTTCACCTAAAATATTCACGTGGCTCATTCCCTTCTCTCTTTGAAATTTTTGATAAAATGGTTCCTCCCTAAAGAGACTACTTGGCCATCTCATCGATCACATACCTCTTGGCCCTCCTAGTCCTCCTGTCTTGCTCTATTTTTTTCTAGCACTGATCACCTACTAAGACCCTATATAATTTACTTATTTGTCATGTCTATTGTTATTGTCAATCTCACTTTACAAGAATGTCGGTTCCGCAGGGCAAAGATTTTGTTTGTTTTGTTTACCAGGTTGTCAATGCTGCCTAGAGGAGGACACACAGTTGGTACTCTGTAAGTATTTGTTCAGTGAATGAATCAATCAATGATAGCAAAACAAGCACAGCTATGTTATAGTATGCACAGAAAACATGTATGAATTGAAAATATCAATGGAAATAGTTAAATTTTTTCTATAACTTGATACATATTTTTCACTTTAAAAATTTAAAGAAAACTTCTAACACTACAAAAATGAAAATCACTATCATTTGTTTTAAATAGAAGCCAACCTTACTAAAAATTATGTAATTACTGACACAAATATTACATATGTACTCTTTAAAATAGGCATTTCACTGGGATCACACACCTCATACTTTGGGAAATATTAGTCTAAGAAATTTAAGGAGATTCTTGCCGGGCGCGGTGGCTCACGCCTGTAATCCCAGCACTTTGGGAGGCCGAGGCGGGCGGATCACAGGTCAGGAGATGAGAACGGTGAACCCGTCTCTAAAAATACAAAAATTAGCCGGGCGGTGGGGGCCTGTAGTCCCAGCTACTCGGAGGCTGAGGCAGGAGAATGGCGGGACCGGGAGGCGGAGCTTGCAGTGAGCGAGATCGCCCACTGCACTCAGCCTGGGCAGAGCGAGATCGTCTCAAAAAAAAAAAAAAAAAAAAAAAAAAAATTTAAGGAGATTCTATATTAGAGATTACTAACTCCTAAACCTGGAAAGGGTTATAGAAACGATCTCATTTTAGAAATAAAGAAATGGAAGGTGAGAGGGTTTAAGTGTCTTGTTCCAAGTTAGACAGTGATGTTTAGGGGTCTGTACCACCTAATTATTCTGCTCTTCCATGACACCTGTTTGCTTGTCTCTAGCAGTGTTGTGCCATTCACAATTAAGCAAATCCTCTCTGGCATTTACCTGCTTCTGAGCCTTTCTTTAACTTGAACATTTTCTTTTGCTTTCTGACTCCTTTACCCTTGCAGACCAGTTCATCCTACACTTTGTGTTTCTTTTGTAGCATTTATTCACGCTCTTTTGTATTACATTTTTTTTTGTACTTGTGTTATATTTCCTACTTTTCTTAAGCCTCAGTACAGTGATAGTTTTATTTTTAAACTGTCCCTCTGTGATACCTAACATTATACCTAATAGTGAGTTTGTGTTTAGTAAGATTTTTACAAGAACTGAATTGAATCTCACTACTATTTGGGAACAAAGCACTAGAAAATGAGATGTTGGTGGTCTTTATATACTATGGGGCCCATCTGTTTGCTATTACCTGTTTCCCACCTGCTGTCATTACTAGCATAAAACTCCATCTGCTACTTCCTCTTCTCTTCCAAGCCTGACTTGGCAGTAAATCTGTCAGACTCTCCATTAGAGTTGACTAGTCAGCATTACTTTTCCTTAATGATTTTTAACAATTACTACATCTTATTTTAATTTATTTGGTTCTCAAGAGTATCCTTAAGATGTGAGTCAGGTAACTAGTACTAAAATCAGGACAAATCTGTCAAAACTGTTCTTAAAAAGCATTAATCTAGCGTTTGGGTTTGAAATTGAAGTAGAGGTTACAGATGGGAGAGTGTGACCTTGGGAAATCACTCAACGCTTCTGGTTCTCAGCATTCTCTCCTTTATGATGAGAGAATTAAGTGCGGTGTCTCTGAGATCCCTTCCAAATGTAACATTCCTGATAGCAAAGATTCATCCCTGAGAACATCCTCGATGGCATCCCCTTCACAAGTCTTTCCTGACCCCTATCCTGATCCAAATGAATCCCATCTTTCAACTTCTAAATGCTTAATTCTCACCTATGTTCCCGTCTCACTTTATCTTGTACTGCCATCAAGCTAGCTGTGCCTTACTCCATCACACTGCCTTCTCCCTCAAGTCGTGGGTTGCCGAAAGCAGTAATAATCTTTGTAACTCCCTCAAAGGTCTAGTAGAGTGTGTTACAGCTAGCACAGGCAGTACACACTGGATAAATTAATCAATGACTGAAAAAGTGTAATATCATAATAATTCTGTCCTGGAAGAAATAAAAACCAAAAATGCTACTGAACAAATCAGATAATTATAGAAATTTGAACTGGGCGTGGTGGCTCACACCTGTAATCTCAACACTTTGGGAGGCTGAGGCGGGCAGATCACTTGAGGTTTGGAATTTGAGACCAGCCTGGCCAATATGGGAAAATCCTATGTCTACTAAAAATACAAAAATTAGCCAGGCCTGGTGGCTCATGCCTATAATCCCAGCTATTTGGGTTGCTGAGGCATGAGGATCACTTGAACCTGTGAGGCGGAGGTTGCAGTAAGCTGAGATGGCACCACTGTACTCCAGCCTGGGCAACAGAGTGAGACTTTATTTGGAAAAAAAAAAGAAAAAGAAAAAAGGAGAAATTTGAGCCATAGCCACCATTATGAATTTTAGTCACCACGGAAAGTGACTGCAGAAAATAAATGTAATATGCAATTTAAACATAATAGCAACATATGGTGTGTTTAATATGTAAATACAGAAGCCTATATAGAAGAAGAGGCCATGTTACAGAGTGATCAGGAGTGTAGACTATAGAGGTTCTACTTGATGCCTGGCTTTCATCATGACTCTGATACTTTGTATGAGCTAGGGGAAGTTATGTGACTTTCTATCTCAAATTTATCATCTGTAACATGGAAGTATCTAGTTCTTAGAGTTACTATGTGAAAAAAATGAATGTCTGGCACATATTGAGTATCTGGCACATATTAAGTGCTTAATAGATGTTTGCCATTATTTTATAATTGGTACTAAAGTATTTTAATATGCCTGTTCTTTAGCACATAAAATTGTAGTAATAACAGAAGTTTCCTCCTAGAACCACTGTGAGATTTTTCAGCGCTTATGGCTATTGAATATATTCTTGTTATATTATTGGATTCATACAAAAATATCTTAACTTAAAAATAGCCAAAAAGTGCTGAGGCATTTTAAAGATGACCTGGATTCTCATTCATCTCAAGCCACTTAATTTTCCCAGGTTGAGAATCATGCAGTATTGGCTTTTTCAAAAACTGGCAAAATAAATATTTATTTTCTAGCTAATGGATGTACATCAGGCAGAAAGTTAATGAGCGTTGTCTTAGTCTGTTTGGGCTGCTATAACAAAAAATGTCATAGACCAGGTGGCTTAAACAACAGACACTTATTTTTCACAGTTCAGGAGGCTGGAAAGTTCAAGATCAAGGCACGGGCAGACTGGGTGTCTGGTGAGGGCCTGCTTCCTGGTTTGTAGACACAGCTGTCTTCTTGCTGTGTCCTCACCTGGTGGAAGGGGTGAAGAAACTCCTTGAAGTCTCTTTTATAATGACACTGATCCCATTCAATGAGGCTCCCCACCATGAACTCCCAAAAGCCTCGCCCACAAATGCCATTATACTGGGAATTAAGTTGCAACATATAAATTTGGGGGAAACACAAGCATTCAGTTTATAGCAAGTATGAATACTTTCTGAAAGTTTCTGAAAGAAAATTCTACTATATTCTTACTTCAGCAACATTTTCACTTTTGAGCCAACCAAATCATTTTCCAAACTCTGTCATTTAATGTTAATTCTGTGAGGTTGAAGTTAGTGGTTAGGGCATGAGCTTTGTGATCAGACAGAACAGAGGTCACATCCTGGCTCCACCACTTTCTAGGCACATGAAATTGAACACGTTACTTCACCTTTCTAACCTCAGCTTTTCCATCTATGATACAAGCATAATAACAGTTCCTTACTCACAGGTTGTCGTAAGGATTAAGAAAGATCACATAGATGGCATGATTGTGTGGCAGAGAATAAACGATCAATACATGGTATAGCTATTATTATTTCTGATGATATACACTTGCCATTATGTCTGCAAAATGGTCAATTTTAAGTCCATTTCGGAATACTGCATTTCACAATGAAGTTCCAGGTTTCCACAATACCAACTGATTGAACAATCAGAGGACTTTTTTTGTGAAAGGCAAAATTTTGTTTGAGCAGTAAGTAGTCTTTTTCACAAGGTTTTACATATGCCGGAATAGTGATATTACCACAATGAGTCTCAATATCATCTCTCTTGTTGATGAAAGACTGACAGTTCACATAATTGTTGCCTTAAATACAGACTTATACTTTCAGGGTAACAGGGAAAAGAACGTGCTATTCTGGCAAGGATATGAGGGTGTTCTTGAAGCAAGTGTATCTTCAACATCTTGTCCAGCTGAAGGAATATAAACTTTGACAGCATCTCCACCTGACAGCGTCTAGAATTGAAGGGGCTGCTTCAGGGTTGGTACAGGTAATTACATCACCCTCTTCTGCACCCCAGCCCCTTGCCTCTTTTTTGGCTTCTCACTCCACTGACCACTGCAGGATCAAACCTGGGAAAGCACATGAAAAATTCACCAGTGCAGAACAATCCAATCATACAACAAGGTGACATTTTAGGTAACTTAAACTACAAGAATTGCCTCCCAAGAAACAGGAAATTATATCTCAAGTAGTTTAAGGAAAAAAATAGTTTCACCTCCACCTCCTGGATTCAAGCGATTCTCTTGCCTCAGCCTCCCCAGTAGCTGGGATTACAGAAAAAAATAGTTTTATAAGATTTTTTTGGAGGTAGCTTGATGTTTTAATATAATGAAGTGCCACAGTAAAAAAAAAAAATTGCAGATTTAGTAATGAGCATAGAAACAGCTTCTTGAGTGATGCTTTAATTCACGACATGCCACTGACAACTCACTGAGCTGTGTATGCGTATCTTTTCATTTCTGCACGGAAGTTATGCTCAGGAGCTCAACAGCTGTTTTAAAATGCCAGGCTTCCAGGTGCTGTTCTCCTAAGACATGGCAGACCTATAATTTCTTCATATATTTACATAAATGGCTCCTGTGAATGGGGGAAGTCTTTATGAGGTTAACGTTATCATAAACTTCTATTATGAAACAACTCATTACCCATTATCAGCCCCTGTCACCCGGTCTGTGTATAGAGAAGGAGAGGAGAGAGAAAAGTCATTAAAGAAAAATGAAATTGCTGAAAAAAATGGAGCAGGAGACATTTGCCTAACTCTATAAATCAAAGGTAGTGGAGTATAACTTTATCTCATTCATATTAGGTCATTAAGCCAGAAAAAGCTGAGGAGCACTAAGAACCTTGGTACTTAAAATGCTATAACCATTTAGTGCTCTCTCTCTCTCTCTCTGTCTCTCTCTCAGGGAGCAGGCTTTGTGATTTCTCTCCCTCCCTCCCTCCGTCTTTCTCTGTCTTCCTCTGTTCCTCGTGTGAAAAACTCTATTATTCAAAGGACAAAAGGAAACCTATTTGAGGAAAAAAAATTATTTCTCTTTCTAACCCATTATTCTTTTACAGTTATGAAAGCTATCATATGATCGTTGTATTACATAGTAACATTGAGTAGTATAAGGACTCTAACAGAGCCTGGGCAACATGGCAAAACTCTGTCTCTACCAAAAACACAAAAATTAGCTGGGTATGGTGGCACGTGCCTGTAGTCCCCGCTACCTGAGAGACTGAGGTGGCAGGACTGCTTGAGCCTGGGAAGTAGAGGCTGCAGTGAGCTGTGATTGTGCCACTGCACTCCAGCCTGGGCAACAGAGTGAGGTCCTGTCTCAAACAAAACAAAACACAACAAAACCAACACTCTAATAGATATCTCGTCAAGCAGTTTCTTTGATTATAAGTATCTTCTAGACTGGATAATTAGATTTTCTTTATTGAAAAGCTATTTCTATCCATCACTGTACATCAAGCTGTATAAAAATGAATTGATTTGAAACTGTGTTTGTAAACTGAGTTTATTTGAGGATTCTGAGAAATTAGATTTGGGAGGACAGCTTGCAGAACTCTTTCATCAAAGGACAAGGAATCTTGGAGGAAAAGCACATTGTAAGAGGAGAGGCTGGGTCCATAAAGTGACCTCTAGGAAAATGGGCTACAGCACCAGTGTGGAAATGATTTTCAGACAAGATGGTACTTGATTCTCAGGTTTTCATTTTCCCAGCACCCATGGACTCACTTCCTGAGGGCAGCCTCCTCGAGTCCACAATTTAATCAGTGCTTTCTCTATTATTCTTCCATATAGCATCCGCAGTCTTCCTTCCTAGTAAAATACACATTTGTTGATGTGTTTACCAGCTAATGGTTGTTTCTTCTACTTGACTATAGGCTCTGTTAAGTTCAGCCTAAAGCTGCCTCCTTACATATTTTAAGTTCAACCTAAGGGTTTCTTTGTACATCATGAACTATAATAAGTGGAAGTATAAACAGACTGTAGCCCGCACTTGTGCCAATCACTGAGTTTTAGCCAATCAAATGTAGCCAACTGTTCAAACCATGTTCAAATGAGGCAAACGCCGAGCTGCAACCAATCCAGCTGTTTCTGTACCTCACTTCTGTTCTCTATATGCCACTTTCCATTTTTTGTCCATAAATCTTCCACACATGGCTGCGCTGGAGTCCCTGAGCCTACTCTGGCTGGGAAGGCCACCCAATTCACGAATTGTTCATTGCTCAATTAAACCCCTTTCAATTTAATTCAGCTGAAGTTTTTCTTTTATCAGTTCCAAGAGGCCAGGCACCATGTCTGTCTTGCTGTCTACTTTTTTCCTAATACCTCGTTCATATATTTGTTGAATGAATGAGCAGATGAATGCACAAGTACTAGGGAAAGGGAAGCTTCAATAGGAAGAATAAAGGATAAAAAAATCAGGTACCTTAAGAGTGGAAAAACAACTCCTCTGTTAGTTTCAAAGACATTAATAAGAGGAGGACATGGCATTTAGTGCAGATATATATACACTAGTCCCCACTGATTCAAGTTTAGCTTTTGGTGCTTTCTATTATTCATGGTCAAAAACAGTCTAAAAATGTTAAATGGAAAACTTCCAAAAATAAGCAACTCATAAATTTTAAACTGTGTGCTGTTCTCCATCCTGCTTGGGATGTGAATCATCTCTTTTTCCAGTGTTTTCATGCTATACATGCCACCAGCCCATTAGTCACTTAGTAACCATCTCAGTTATTAGATCAACCATTGCATTATCGCAGTGCTCATGTTCAAGCAACCCTTATTTTACTTAATAATGGCCCCAAAGTGCAAGAGTTGTGATGCTAGCAATTCAGATAGGCCAACGAGAAGCTGTAAAGTGCTTCCTTTAAGTGGAAAGGTGAAAGTTCTCGACTTAATGAGGAAAGAAACAAAATCAAATGCAGAGGTTGCTAAGATCTATAGTAAGAACAAATCTTCTATACAGGATATTGTAAAGAAGGAAAAAGAAATTTGTACTAGTTTTGCTGATGTACCTCAAACCACAAAAATTTATCACAGTGTATGATAAGGGCTTAGTTAAGATGAAAAAGGCATTAAATTTGTAGGTGGAAGCCATGAACAGAAATGTATTCCAGTGGATGGCAATTGGGTTCTGTCCTATCCAAGATTTCAGGCATCCACTGGGGGGTCTTGGAATGTATCCTCTGCAGATAAGGGGTGGCCACTATATCTTGGGCACTAAGCATCAGGAACATTTTTCCAGACATCAGATGCCACCACCAGCAGCAAAGATCCTGTTGCTGGAAAAGGGGAGGAGAGGAAGACATAGCCACACTTGGGCTGTTAATAGGAATAGGATACAGCAATGAAGGAGACAAAGGAAAACAGCAGAGAAGATTGTTTTTAGAGTTCATATGAGATGCCCCAAGAAACTCTCAGAACCATCTGGAAAATTTTTGAGAAAAGCTCAAATTTAACACTTATAAATTTATTTTGAGATTTTACAATCAGCCTGAAAAACGTTAACTGACATATTGCTAAGAGAGAAAAGCAGCTTATAGATGAGCATATATACATTAATGCTTCCATGTGTATGTTCATGTTGGAAAAGACATAAGTTTTTTTTTTTTTCTTGTTTCCTTGAAAGAAAGACTTCAGGACAGAAATTCCTTACAAATACTCATAGTATTAAATAGTTATTTTTGAGAAGTGAGATTATAAGTGATTTTAAGATACATGTATATCTTTATCTGTATTTTTTTTATTTTCCCTTCATTGCACAAGGAGTCCTTATAAACATTTCAAGAGTTTTAAAGATGTGCTTTCTTTTGAAAACAGGTAAGAAGGGAAAAACAAATCATGCTTACTTCAGTTGATTTACTTGAGGAATGGAGAAGAAAAAGTAAAAGAGCCCAGAGTCACTTACAAAAGCAGGGACATGATGGCCAAGCAAGACAACACCACAGCATAGTTCCTGCTTCCTGCATTCTTTCCTGCATGTGAGCAGTTCCACTCTCAGCTCAGCTATGAGACGTGAGGCCAGTCTAGATTTGGGTTTTTTGGCTCTTGGTGTGGTCTCTGCTCCATTTCACAGAGAGAATAAATAGGAATATCAGCAATTCACTGAGGAGCCATTGCCCCCATTTTTGTGTTTTCTCTTTCCCTATAAGACCTTTCTTCCATTGACACCATTGAGGGCAATTTTGAGAGATATTGGGATCCCTGGCATAGAACCTTTGGCAGTGTGCCCTGATAGACTCTCTTTGGTCAGAATTTTGTTGCAAGTTTCATAGAATAGTCTAATTTATATGCACTAAAACACCTAAAAACATTCAAGAGAAAAGAATAATAATAATTTAAAAACCACACCGAAACACCTGAAATATTGTTGCATGTTGCCTTTCACCCTCATCCTGATACTATTTTGTCAGATTTATCTGCCTTAGTTGCTGCCTTCCTCTCTCATGTCTCCTATTTAGGCAGAAAATAAAGGGTTTCTGGGGAAATAAAAGTAAATACGGTAAATGGAAAATGGAATTGGATAATGAATGATAATATGTAGCCTTCTAACTAGGTCAGGTGGGAATGGTTCCTTTAAAACATCATCTTCCATGTGGGACCTGCAGGCACCTCTTTGCCTTTGTTTACAGCAGCCCTTCTGCCTGTAATGTGCTCCTGTGGTTGGCCTGGTTGCTCTTTCTCATCTATCCAAAGAGGAGCAGACATCTGCCAGCTTTCGATTATGCCCTGAGGAATCTGTTGCAACAAAGGAGTAACAATTTGAAGGACTGAAAAGTAAAGACAATGACCTAACAGTTCTCAGGACAGGAAAAGCTGAAGATTAATGGCTTTCTCCTATTACCCCTTCTAATTTTGGCTTTCTATTCAGTTATCTTAGTCTTAGTGTCATAATTAAACAACAACAGCCACCATAGCAAACAAGGATTGCCAACTCCCCAAAACAAAGAGTAAACCTTTCTTGAGTACCCATTCTTTACTATGCTTGGTTCTGGACTAGAGATGAATGATTTCAGATCTTTGATGGCAAGGCTTTGGGCCTTTTAAAATACAAACTGATGAGTCACAGAAATAAATGAAGTTGGCTTTACTGAAAGTAGTTTTTACATCAGATGCTCTGTTTCTCACCATGCCCTGTGGCCTTCTTCTGAATATTTCCTCTGCCTACAAAGTGGCTTAACATCCATACGCATGACAGTGTGTCCTCTGTTGATAAGTTATGTAGTAATGTTTGCCCCCCGCTGTAATAGTTGAAGACCTAAAAAGCAAACAAGAAAAACTATCAGTTACTGTGGAGAAGAAGATGGGGAAAATTAAAAATGTATTCAGAGAATGGTGAGGCATATATAGACCACATCTGTAATAGTCCATTTTCAAGCTGCTGATAAAGATACACCTGAGAATGGGTAATTTATAACGAAAAAGAGGTTTCATTGACTCCCAGTTCCACATGGCTCGAGAGGCCTCACAATCATGGTGGAAGACAAAGGAAAAGCAACAGGACATCTTACATGGTGGCCGGCAAAGAGAGACAATGAAAGTCAAGCAAAAAGGGAAACCCCTTGTAAAATCATCAGATCTTGTAAGACTTATTCATTACCACGAGAACAGTATGGAGGAAACCACCACCATGATTCAATTATGTCTCACCGGGTCCCTCCCACAACACGTGGGAATTATGGGAGCTACAATTCAAGATGAGATTTGGGTGGGGACACAGTCAAGCCATATCGACACACACAGAGGGATTCTGGGGTAACTTTAAGTAGACTGCATAAATCCTTCCTCTCCCTAGCCCACTCAAAATAATCCCAGGCAGAAATAAGCATTCCAATTTTGTTAATCCTATAGTACTTCGGTCTTGTGCCAGAAACATGACTGTAAACAATAATACTCAGTGTTAGAGTTAGATGTGCTCTTGCTAATGACTTCAGGTTCAGCACAAGCTCCTCCACTAGGAAATTTCTCATTCATCTTGCTGTTCACAACTCCTTGCCTAGTTTCTGGTACTTAAAAAGCTTTAATAAACAATCATGAACGATAGTGAGCAAAAAAAAAAAAAAAAAAAAGTAACTTTCACTGTCACATTGTTAACTAATGTTAGAATTAAGACTAGAACTACATCTCTGATCTCCTTCCACACATAATCTCACAGATAGGTGTCATCTCCTGAAAGTGCAACTTTCATCATGTCATTTTCCACTTTAATGTCAAACAAACAAAACCTAAATGGCTCCCAATCACCCAGAGAACTCTGGACTCCTATCAAATCTGCTCAACCCCAGTCTCCTCCTGCTTCCTCCCATTTCATTAACCAAAAATTCAGGAGTCTTTCTTAATTCCTCTCTTTCCCTTCTAACCTTCATGAACAAGTCCTATCAGATCTGCCTTCAAAATATATCCAAAATCTGTTTCTTTGCTCCACTTCCTATCTTCCTTGTCCAAGATACCAGCACCTCTCATTTAGCGATGAAAATATCCTTTTTGTTAATTACCAAAAACTAGTCTTCCTGCTTCTAGCCTTGCCCATCTCAAATCTATTTTTCACATACAGCAGTAGAATGAACTTTAAAACAAAATCTGTCGATCGTATCCTATCACATCCCTGATTAAAACCTTCCATTGCATTTAGGGAAACACACAAACTCATTACCATGGCCTAAGAGACCTTCCGTAAACTGATCTGCTGTCTACCTCACTTGACCTCATCATTCCAACTGTCCTTCCCCCTTGATCATTATTCTCCAGTCATACAACCACTTCCCACTTTACAGCCTGTTTCCTCTCCCTGGAACTCCTTATGGATGCTTGCTTCTTGTCATCAGAGTCTCAGCCTAAATGTCACTCAGAGAGGTCTTCCCTGACCACATATGAGCCCCATGAATCCTGTGATCTCAATCACTGTCCACTGTTTTATCTTCATAGCTCTTACCACCACCTGATATTTTCTTGTTGATTTTTTCTCTCCACCCCTTTGTCTTGTTTAATGCTGAGTTTTCATTGCTCCAAACAGCTCCTGACACATAATGAATCCTTAATAAGTATTCATTGAATGAAAAAATGAATGAGGTCCAAATAACTTGACTGGCCAGTCAGAGCCTTCTGTTAAGATACCAAACTATTTTTCTGGCTACTACTCCCCTTTCACAACCATGTGTTTCCAGCCAAATTTCACAGTTTGTTTCCTCTACACTCAGTATTTCTGAGAACAGCTCAATGATTGAAGGGTAGGCAGAATGAATTCACGGCAAACCCAGCTAAAATGTGAAGTAGATCACATTGGCCTTTAAGTTCTCTATTTAAATCTCTCTTCACTCTCCATGCCCACCATGAGATGTGACCTTTTTGGGGGACTTTGTAAATTTATTTATTCCCTAGATGCTCACGACTATAAACAACACAGATAGCCAGGTCGTTGAAACACAATTTTATTTACATTTCACTTCGGTTGGGCAAGTGCCTTATAATGATCTGGAGATTTGGTATTTCTACCCAGGAAAAAAAAGTTAATAAAATTTCACTTTTCTAATTAAAGCAAATTATGTTACTTTCACTATCTGACATGCCTTAGGGACAGACATTTTTAAAGGAGAAGGCTGTCTTACTTACTCTCTATGCCAGCGCCACGTTTCTAGACCAATTTGCTGTTTAGATATTACTCTTACTGGCATCTCAATAAGGGTGTCTCTGTACAGAGTAGCTAGACAAGACATGGTTCCCCACTCATGTTACTGTGGTTCAGCAGCCAGGTGGGACAGAACTGCACGGTTAAGCTGAATATTTCTCTTTTACCAACACGTAATTCAGATCAGTATTATCTTTCCAATATTCATAAAATATAAGACAATTGGGTAACTTTATCAAAAAGACTTAAATACCTTTAGTGTCAAAATTCTCATTTAATTCATCACCTTTGTTTCTTTGCATAATCTTTCTGACTATATAAATAGGTACCATATTGAGGTGTCATATCTAGAACCTAGAACAGTATCTGGCACATTACAGTGCATAGATGTCTACTTAAGAAAAAGATTTGTTGAATAAATAATTTCCTTTGAAAATATTTTGAGAAAAGAAATTGATACTAAGGTTTTTATTCTAAAAAGCAGATCTACTTAGCAGTTCAATAATCTAAAGCATTTACTTCTGAAAGGCTGAATGTATACATACAGCCTTCAAATAAACAGCATGCTCTGCTATTGAAAATTCATTTGTCATGTTCTGATTTGGGCTAATTCTAAGAAATCTGGTGAATCACTACTCTTAGTAAGACAGAAAATATAGCAGCTCTTCGCACTGTAAAATCTTAGTTCAAATTTAATCAAACAGTGTCTCTATACTTACATATATGAATAAACTTTCAAAAAATCCAAATCCAAATCTGGGTGTTAGATATTTGTTCCCTTGGAAAAGATGTTCCCTATACTTAAGGTAAGAGCACATCTTGATAATTTATCACTTACCATAAGTTTTCTCCCTTTCAGCCCAGATACCACCTCTCCAAATGTGGTAAAATCAATTGCATATTGTTTGAATTTCAGGGCACTCCTGACGTAGAGGGGATTTATTGCATCCCGAGTAGCCCACCTCGCTATGAATGCAGCAGATTTAGTTCCGAGTCAGTAAGAAAGAAAATTTGATAATTTTTAAAAATGTACCTACTTGGAAAAAAAAGAAAAAACATTTTAGGTTGATAAGTGTTATATAATTGATTGCCAACTGTAAAATGTAATGTTGATAATTGTCAAGGTTCCAATATTGTGTACATACCTTTCTATACATTTTTATTTTATGTCCAGAGCCTTCATTGAGACCATCTGGCAACACTCACTTCCTTTGCCTTTTTTCCGTCAGTAATAAATTGTGCTGCTTCTCGTTTCCTCAGCCATGTGCCCCTTAATGAAGTAATTGAAGCTCTCAGGGCTTAACATGATGCTGCTTTTAGATTACATTTGTGTTTTCACAGTTGCCTTCAGGGATGCAACCTCAAAGATTAATTAGAAGTGGGAATTCCCAGCCCTACAATGATATCATTGGGTGGGAGGGTAGGGGGATGTTTCCTGGAGCCTCTCAAATCCCCAAGATAGATAAAGGGAGTTAGAAGAGGTTTTGTTTTTGAAACTGTATGTGTGTGAAAAAAACCAGAAGGGAAATGTAGAATTCTATGGAGTTTAGACACCATCCAAAACAGTTATAACCCTGATGGTCTAACTGAATTTAATAAAATAAAGATAGGAGATACAAACTAAAGTTTTCTGAGTCACTGAAGGTAATTTCAAGAAAAGAAAATCCCTGAATATGTCTTTCAACACACACACACACCCTTCAGCACAGACTGCCTAAAAGATTTCAGAGGCTAGTGGCACCAGATGGTGGTAAGATGTAAGAGCTTTCCAATAGAGCTATTAGGAAAGCAGTTAAAAGTTGAAGTCAGGTTGGCCTTCTGGTTAACAGATGTACAGTTCAAATGACTGTTGCGCTGTTAAAAATAAGAACAGAAAAGAAAAGGAAGAAAACAATGCGTAGTTACTCAATGGTAAATTCAACAGATTGAGTTCTTGTGAATCCTTTGAAGTCATAAGATAGTCTTGAGATAACACAAAGTGAATTTCAAAATTTAAAAAGAAAGGAGCTGAACTGAGCTTCGGGCAGAGTAGGATTAGTCTCTCACTCCCACTACATCTAAATACCATTAACGATACACTTTTAACAAATTCTCACACATTTTCCAAAATATATATAGGTTTTCTTCATGTTTCTCACGGAACTAATATATCACTCACATTCTAAATTCATACTGATATAGACAGTTGGGTAACAGATCCAGTGAAATGTTTTTGGCACAAAAGGAAATACAGAAAAAGCCAATGGAAATTGCCCTCAAGTTGCTTAAAGATTGGCAGGAAAGATACGATGTGTGAATAAGTACCCGTGTGTAGGTAGAGCTAGCTGCCACACATGCTTGGGTAAGTTGTGCAGTGCACAACCTGCATGGCCATCTGAGACAGTCTCTAAGTAAACCAATAAACAACAGGGGTTCAAAGGAGAAAGAAGTTTCTTATGTCTGAAAGATCAGGAATGGTTTCCTGGAAGAAGTGATATGTAGGTTGTGCATTGATTGAGAGGATATATACACACAAGGGTTGGAATCATGGTAGAAGGAACTCAACTGGAGGAAACAGGCTGTGTCTGACACCTGGAGTTCAGGATCAGTGAACTGATCTTGGTTCTGTGTGTGTGATGTGGTCAGCATGTGCTGGTCCAGCCTGACCTCTTCATGTGATTCCTTTTTACACCTGCTGACTCCCTTGTATGATCCCCCCTGCTTGCAGCTAACTCACCAGGAGATCTCAGCTTAGGCCTGCCTGCCTATCACCCACCTTCCATTCCAGCCTGGGGTAAGCACCACTCTTGTATATTCCCATGGCACTCTGAATTGATCTGTCATATCAATTATCACATGTGTTTTGAACAGTTTCCTTATCTGGATCCTTCACAAAATTTTTAGCACCCTGAGGGCAAAGACAGTTTTACCTTATTCACAGTGATTTCTCCAGCAACAGACATAGTGCATGATATTCAGTATATGCTCAGAAAACAATTTTTATATTACTTACATGAAGATATTTTATTGCATCAAATTAAAGTATGTTTGCAAGAAAGGGACCAGTGTCATATACTAGGTTTTCTGTACAGTTCAACTTCTTTCAAAAGTTCCTTGATAATACCTTGATATTAATAAAAGAGAATTAAATTTATAGATGATAAGATATTCCTTTAATTTTTAAAACTCTCCCTTTAGAAATTGTGGATTATTGTCCAACTAAATAAATAGTCCATCCTCCTCCCCCACCCACTAATCTCCACATGGCAAGAATATAAACACACAGGAATTTCAGCGATTCTGAAAGTATAAAAAGTATATAAAAGGCTAAGAAGTTGGGGCTTCATCCACTGCCTCATTTATCCAAAATATATTCACTTTATGCTAGGTCTGTTTGAGGCATTGGGGATACAGTTGGAGAAAGGACTGGGTACAGGACTGGGGGATTTAAACACATAAACAATAATCAAATAGATCTGGGAGGGTCAGTGCTATTGAGAAAATAAAATGGGATTTGTGAGATATAGGAACATGAGAGACCACTTTAGGTGGTCAGAGAGGCCATCTCTGAAGAAGGGGCATTTGAGCTGAGACAAGGATGACAGGAAGGAAGAGGACTTGAGAAGAATCTGGGGAAGAATGCATGGGGTGGGGGAAGGGGCGTAACATAACATTTTAAAAGACAAAGTTCAAAGATTTTACTTTAAGGAAATGTAAATCCACTGAATGCCAGATAAGTATTATCTAGGCTTCTGTCATTTCCCTCTCCATTGCCTTTCTCCTCCTCATCCCAAGGTCACTGGCTTGAAAACAACACCTCATCGTCAGAGCGGCAATCCCCTGAAATGGGAGAGGTGAGATAGTTGTTCACATTTTATTTCAAATTCCAACCCCATGTATAACTCAGAAGAGTTATCCGATCTTCCCCTTCCAGTACTGAAGCGATCAGCCCTCTTGCTTGCAAGCCACTGAAGCTGATCCTAGCTAATTTAAGATGAAAATAAGTTATTGGAAAAATAGGAGAATTTTATTGATATGATAAAAATGCTGGAGAATCAACCTTTAAAAATTGAATGGAAATGGGGGCCTACCCAGCAGAGAACATGGACAAGGCCCTGAGAGGAATATCTGCTTAGGACACAAAGCTGCGCCCTACTGCTATGTGATACATACCACTCACACTGCCATCGTGGCTGTTAGTTGCTGAAGCACTGGATTCTCAACTCACCTCACTGCCACTGCTTCCAAGGATAATAGGTAGATTTTTTTTTATCCTCTCCCTCCTCCCTTCCTCCACCTTCAAGTAGTGTCTGTTTCTCCCTTCTTCTTACTTATAAGTGAGAACATGTAGTATTTGATTTTCTGTTCCTGCATCCATTTGCTTAGGACTATGGCCTCCAGCTCCATCCATGTTGCTGCAAAGGACATGATCTAATTCTTTTTTATGACTGTGTAGTATTCCATGGTGTGTGTGTGTGTGTGTGTGTGTGTGTGTGTGTGTGTGTGTATACATATATATATATCACATTCTCTTTATTCAGTCTACTATTGATGAGTATTTATATGTCTTTGCTATTGTGATTAGTGCTGCAATGAATTTATGTGTGCATGTATCTTTACGGTAGAATGATTTATATTCCTTTGGATACATACCCAGTAATGGGATTGCTGGGTCAAATGCTAGTTCTGATTTAAGTTCTTTGAGAAATTGCCACACTGCTTTCCACAATGGTTAAACTAATTTACATTCCCACAAGCGGTGTATACGTGTTCTCTTTTCTCTAACACCTTCGCAGCAACTGTTATTTTTTGACTTTTTAATAATAGCCATTCTGGTTGGTATGAGATGGTATCTCATTGTGGTTTTGATTTGCACTTCTCTAATTATTAGAGATTTTAAGCTTTTTTTTTTTTTTTATGTTTGTTAGCCACATATATGTCTTCTTTTGAAAAGTGCCACTTATATACCATTGGTGGGAGTGTAAATTAGTTCAACCATTGTGGAAAGCAGTATGGTGATTTCTCAAAGAGCTAAAAACAGAACTACCATTTGGTCCAACAATCTCATTACTGGGTATATACTCAGAGGAATATAAGTTGTTTTGCCATAAAGATACATGTACACCCATGTTAAGTGCAGCACTATTCACAATAGCAGAGGCACAGAATCAACCTAAATGCCCATCAGTGATAGACTGGATAAAGAAAATGTGGTACATATATACCACAAAACCCTGTATAGCCATAAAAATGAACAAGATCATGTTTATTTTGGGAACATGGATGGAGGTGGAGGCCATTACCTTTAGTAAACTAATGCAGAAACAGAAAACCAAATACCGCATGTTCTCACGTACAAGTGGGAGCTAAATGATGAGAATTCATGAAAACAAAGAAAGGAACAACAGACATTGGGGCCTATTTGAGGGTGGAGAAAGAGAGGAAGGAGACTAGCAGACAAATAAACTATAGGGTACTAAGCTTAGTACCTGGATGATGAAGTAATATGTACAACAAACCCCTGTGACATGAGTTTACCTACATAACAAACCTGCACATGCACTCTCAAACCTAAAATAAGAGTTAAAAAAAATGTTTAAACAACACCACAAAGGAAAAGTGTCTGTTCATGTCTTTTGCACATTTTTTAATGGAGTTGTTTTTTGTTTGTTTATTTGTTTAAGTTCCTTATAGATTCTGGATATTAGACGTTTGTTGGATGCATAGTTTGCAAATATATTCTCCCAGTCTGTAGGTTGTCTGTTTACCCTGTTGATAGTTTCTTTTGCTGTGGAGAAGCTCTTTAGTTTAATTGGGTCCCAGTTGTCAATTTTTGTTTTTGTTGCAATTGCTTTTGGCGTTTTTGTCAAAAAGTCTTTGCAGAGCCTATGTTCAGAATGGCATTTCCTAGGTTATCTTTCAGAGTTTTTACAGTTTTAGGTTTTACACTTAGGTCTTTATCTTGAATTGATTTTTGTATATGATTTAAGGAAGGGGTTCAGTTTCAATACCTTAGTTTTCTCATTTTGAAAACAGGCACATTGGTATCCATCCAATAGTGATATTGTCAGGATTAAATTAAGTAATATAGAATATGACAGTAGCTGTTATTCACGTTGTTGTTTCATTTCTATTTTGAGCCCTTAGTGTACACGTTATTCTATATAAGCAAAGCAGCTACTTATGTCTTTATTGTAATTTTTGCTGTTTCTATCATGGCTTTCCATCCTCTCTCTTTTTGACATTTCATCATTTTGTTGTTGTTTTTGTCTCATCTGTCTCCTGCTGAATTTTCTTTAATGAATCTCAGTTTTCAAACTGACATGTTGCCCTTTTGTGAATATCACTGGCCAATCTGAGACTTTTTCAGTTTATGAGACAAAAGAATGTTTTAGGCATAATGGTCAGGACTTTGGTTCTTCTCTACTGTATTCTTCTAACCGATGGCTTTGTTCTGTTGTTGAAAGAAAACAGACATTGTACTCTTGGGCTTCTTTTCTATTTCTTTGTCCAGAATCACCCTGAAAATCTGGTGGTTACAGAAGGTTATTCTCAAGAATAGAGATTTTCAACCTTGATACCACTGACATTTTGGACCAGGTAATTCTTTGTTGTTGGGGCTTCTTTTGTGCATTGAAAGATGTTTAGCAGTATTTCTGGCTACCAGTATCTCCTCTCTCCTTCACACCAGTGTGACAACCAAAAATGTCTTCTGAGGTGTAAAATCATCCTGGTTGAGAGCATTTTACCCATACTTACTCTGCCAAGCAGTTGCCTGAGTGATTACATTTATCCTACTTTGTTCTCACTATGAAGTTTTTTCCTAAGCAATGTTTAAAAATTTGGCAAAACTTAGGTGACTTTGACCACATCCTCAAACAAATGAACTGTTTTCCCAGTTCCTAACCACAGGCTGCACCTTGGACCTCATGCTAGTGTTGACTAGGGTAGCTTAGTTTAGAGCATGTATATGGGTCATAGCCATATTAGTCATCCTTCTTTTTTAAGACTTGTAAGCTCACTATTGTTAAAATATTACAGTTCTTTAATTGCAAAATACCCTTCATTGATGGTAAGATTCACAACAACAGCTTTTTTTTTTTTACTTAAAATATATATTAAATGTTCAAAAGTATTCTTTTTAGCTTAATAAACCATAAATGGTACATATATTTGCATTCCACTTTATTTTTCGGGACTACTCACAGGAGTTTAAGGATGACAGCCTTCAAATGTTAAAATGCACATTCCTGCCTCCTACCTTCCATATTATGACCTTGAGGAGCAGGAGACCCCAGGGATGCAATCAATTCTAAACAAGCATCTCAGCTAGTTCTAATGTAGCCCACCAACATACATTGAGAAAGATTGGTCTAAGCCTTCTTAACATTTAGGATGTAAAGATTGTTCTAAGTCACTGCTGGCCCTTGGCAGTCATGTACAACATCAAGTGGCATTCCACTCCACTATTCACAGGCTTACTCACAACCATGAGACATCCTAAACAGTACCAGGGATTCATTTGAACTGTCAACTTAGCCAAATTTGTAGTTTTATTTCTGGTAATTAAATGATATACCACGGGGAGGTAGTTTGTCTTATAAGCCAGCTGCGACCTTTCAACAAATAGACATTTGATGCTGTGGGTGCCTTTTATGATGCTTACATTGGCTGTATCAACCTCTGCTATCTTAGGAAATTCTCCACCTATTCTCCCAAATTTTCTGCAGCCTTTCAATATGTCACCTGAACTAAAACAGATAGCCTTCCTAATATAAAATAACTTTAAGACTGCAACATAATATTTATTTTAGAAACAGTTTTAAGTGACAGGGATATGCAGTTCACTAAAACTTTACCAGAATGTGATGTTATTCATGTAGGCTCTTATTGAGGTGACAATTGGATGATCAATAGCCTGTACATCTGTTAAATTTGTATGTGTTTAGTCATTGACAACTACTTATCAACTTACCTTCTCCCTGGTGGTGGCAAATTTCATTTGACATTGATTGTAAGATACATTCAGATTTTTCAAATAATCAAATATAGGGAAGGTTATTTTACGAGGGGGGATAATGAGTAATTAGTGGATATGATGTACATTATCTGGGTGATGGATACCCTAAAGCTTTGAATTAACCACTACACAACCTATACATGTAACAGAACTGCATTTGTACTTCAGTCATTTATACAATTTTTTTTAAAGTTATTTTACAATGGAAAAGAGAAATTCTCCTAGTTTAGATTTTAAGCCTAAGCTGTACTTTGCTAATCAGTGTGCTTTTCAAAAATGTTAAAATGATTAGTTATATTCATCTGACCAGGGGAAACAGGGTCTTAAATAGAATTTTGAAAAAACAATAAATTTTACTATTGCATGAAAGAAATAGTAAAACTTCTGAATTAATGGAGCTGCTATTTACATCTCACATGGTAGTACCCATAATTAGCATGTTCTTAGTAAATGTGTCTGTTTCCTAAATAAAAACGTATAAGCTAATTCAATAATTAGGGCTTAACTTCCTTTTCCTCGACAAACCATAGAATTAGAAAATAGAGAAGGAGGTTTATCAGACAGAAAGCTATAGGATTAAGTGTGTAAACCAAAGTAATACCAGAAATTGTTTAGCTCTGTTTAATTTCAGAAGGGCATGTTCCACAGTAATAACTTTAGAACATATTCAATAAGTGATGGTTTCTATTAATAAGATGTGCCAATGCCTGTTTTATTTGGTAGGTTAAGAACCATCTGATGAGTTATTCTTATCCAATACAGATAGTACAAAGAATAGAAGAAGGGAATGCAAAGCTTTCTTTATTATTCATCTTAAAAC